ATCAAAGAAACTAAATAACAAAATACACTTAGATAAAATCTATTCAAAAAAATGCACCAGATCAGGACGAGAATCTTCAGCTCCCAGAACAGCATGTCGATTAGGTTGGGATTCAACGTCCCATATAAGAACCTATAGACAGAAAGCAAGCAAAGTTAAACCTAATATTTTTAAGTGAATCATGTAATAAACCAGAGTACAGGGAATACAATCAAATGATCAATCGCTTACTTCAGGACAGTCGGTGTGTGTGGCCACAATATTCTTATTCTGTGGCAGTTCTCTGATTCTGTTCACCTACAATGATATGAAGAAACTCTACAGAATGCGATCATGAAAACAGTAGCAAGCTCAAGAACAACAAGAGAAATTATAACGAAAAGAATAAAAATACAAAGATATGCCCAAATAAAAAGTTATCTTTAGAGTTGTACAAAATGTTAGGAAGCAATTAGAGAAATACTTCTCTAAATGAGAGTCAGACGAAAAGCAGTATCATCAACATCACTTCCACTTCGGTAATCCTTCTGACACCATGATGCCACAGAAATTACAGAATCACAGAAGTGTAAGAAGTAGTATAATATTTTCCATTTAAGGCACATTTGTTTTTCAATATACAACTTATCATCCAAAGATCAATCTGTTGTATTCTGTGTGCTAATCCATGGGAGAAGAACAATAAATAATAGAGGACAAACAATTTGAAACACAAACACATGTGTCCCTAAGTTAGCAATTGCCAAGTAGCATTAAAAAAATGAATGTTGCTGCTGGCTCAATCAGTATAATTCACATTATAGAAGCAAACAAGTTGAACAATAAACTCAAAACAACAAATAATGAGAATTTATGATCAATTCTTCTATATGCAGCTTTATACAATTCATTAAAATGAAAATGTGAAACGAGTGCACGTATGCAAATATTTATATGATATATTTCTTACCTCTCCTGGATGTAAGATAGTTTTGTACTTCTTGACAAATGGTGAGCGAGCATCCTCATTGAACTGATAAAAAATAAAACTAGGTTAGGTTCAACAAAATAACTGCTTCTGGAACATTGAATATAGAACAAGAAAATATACATTAGCTATGTGGCTTTCTGCAGCAACTCGTGGTTTCACAACCTCACAATTTGCTATAATCAAAGTGTTCGGCTGCGTATGGTCAGTCTGTAATAAAAAAAAAATAAAAAATAAA